ATAGAGGATATGAATTTCTACTTGAGGAGAAAAATACTATAGACAGTAATAATGTAAAATGGTAAAAACACAAGCAGTTTCTTTTCAGTTATATGTTGCTTCCAGACGTGTTTCTCTGCAACTTGTTGAGCAACATTTTAAGATGTTGGACTTCTGCAATAGATGGCACTGATGGTTTTACTCCTTTTTTTTTTTTTTAATTCTTTACAGTTTTATTATAAACCAAGAATTTTGGACTTGCAAAGAGGTATTATTGCAATAATGCACTTTTCATACTTGAAATTTATTTGTATGATATAAAGTTGTTACTTTAAACAAAATGCAAGTTAGGGGGGATTTGTTTATAAAATCTGGGTAATTTATAACAAAAGAATTTCCTAAAGTTTGCTAAAAATTCATTTTATGTTCTACATATTGCATTTTTAAAATAATTTTACAGTTCAGTTTTATGATGGAGCCTCTTACAGAAACATTAACAAATGTAGAAATCTGCCACATTTCTTTTTTAGTATTATTCAATAATTTAATTATCTTTTAATTTTTTTAAACTTCTTGATCCCTTATTAATAATCTTTAAATCATGACATCAGCCAACTGTCCTTATTTTAACATGATCCAAGTATTGCTTCCTTTCCTATTACCTTCCTAATTTTATTCTGTAGAAAGAAAAAGTTTAATGAACAAAGGAAAGTGTTTGCTTTTTGAGGTACCAGATGTTCACAAATACAAGGAGAGTTTTAAACTTTCAAGTGACTTTCCTTTAGTGTTCTTAAAAGCCAAATGTTCTGTTTCTCCTTTTCAGAGTCGTGTAGCCCATTTTTTCTTTGTCCAAAATGGTTCTAAATATAATAAACCAATGTAGCACTATTTTTCCTAAACAAAGCCCAAAAAAGAAAAGTGCCTTGCCTCATTAGAAAAAATAAATAAATAAATCGTCATGACCTCTAAATTAGTATGTAGAACAATGAAAAGTTTTGAACATTTTTCTGTAGTTTTTTAAACCATAAATTAGTTTAAACTGAAAGTCTTAAGGCTTGAAGAAACCTGAGTATATTATTTGGAATATGGAACATATACTCCTTCATTTTATGTTGTTTTAATGATTCTGTGAGATTGTTCTGGCTCAGACAGTAACTTTTCTTTGAGGATGCATTTTTTGAGAAAAGTGATTGTGGAAGACTTCAGTGTATACAAATTAGTGTTGTATTAGTGTAGTTCTTTACATTGAGTTAATCCAGACTTCCCCCATAATTTGCATTAGCAAAGTCACTTTATGGATCCTAGGTTCTCCATGTTTTTATTTGTACATACAAAAATTGTTCTTTAAAAAACACTTTTGCTATTTTAAGTATGATGTTGGGGAGGAGAGGAGTGTTTTAACTTTTTATAGTTGATGATTTAGGGTAGCACAAATGAAACTCCTTTGTATTTCATTTTTCTCAGTCCTCTCTTAAGGTGCTTTACTGATGAGAGTGATTTCCATACCTTCCTTTGGTACCATGAGGTACCACATAAGGTAACCTATTATACCAACTTACCTACTTTGCTTTCCTCCCTGAGGTGAAATAATACAGTAAAAGTTTTTTTATCCAGCAAAACAGGAGAGTGGAAGTGAATCAAAACTGCTTTGTTAATTAAGCGTTAATTCTCTTGCCCCAGGTGGTTTTCTTCTTCTGATTTCTCTTCCCTTCCCCTGTTTTACCACCCTAAAAACAGCATATCAACAATCCCTTGAGGTCTTGTATTCTGTTGTATGATTGATGTGTTGTATCATTGGGTGTGGTGGTCTAGTATAGTCAAGATTTGCATTGAGTGTTCAGAAATTCCAGTTGGTAAAGTGCCAGATAACACAGCTTCCCTGTATATAGATTACTATTGGGTAGGTCAGCAAAGACCTCTTTTGCAAACTAATAATCTATGATGCTCCTTCCACAAAAACTGATTAAAAGAATCTTCATAAGAGTCCATTTAGGTTTTAAAAATGAGGCAGTTAAGATTTTCTAAGTTAATTTCTTAAATATACATATTCTGTCTAGTAGTCTGGCCAAATAGTTTGGTTATTGAATTATATTGGATAATTTTCCACTTTTCCATAAAAATTTGTAATTTTTATGTTGTCACTAAAGTGCCTGCCCAGCACTGTAAAGACTCTCACAGACACTAGAAAAAGGGACTTCATCTTCTTGAGTACAAATTATTATGGACAAAATTTTTTTTTCTTTCATATAAGAACCCTGCATGTTTGAGTATATTTTTCCATCCAATGTTCAACTGGTTCTTCTGGTAGCTCTTCCTATTTTTATTTGGTCCCGTTTCTGTAGTTCTTTTTATTTCCTCCGATGTTTTGATAGCTAATTACAGTATATTTAACCAATCATGATTTATTTTCTAGAATATTTGAATAATATATGAGTGACTCAGCACCCAATTATAAGCATTAAATATTAATCTGGGCACAGAATTTAAAATGATACCACATCAGAACATAGGAGAACTGCTTTATTGTCCATTTTGAAAGTATGAAACTTAAATATTGAAAATATTCAACTAGAATGGCCGTATTCTTACCTTGTAATTTCAGTCCATTGGTATGTGTTAATTTCATATCAGATGTATAAAGAGCATTTACCTTTGTTTGTTTGTATCTACTCTGTGGTGGAAATGTTAAACCATGATAGCTTTTGCTACCAACTCTCAATCACTTAACTTTCAGAGCAGTATATTTGTTTTGGGGGGATTTTGTGCCTCATCTGAGTTTAGAAGTAATGTCAGAAAATGTTAAGCATGTCCTTTTAAAGAAAATATAAGGTTTCTAATTGTCTTATTACCATGGTAATTTAAGTGAATTTAGAGTATTTAACTGCAATCTTGAATTATAAAGTTGGGATGCATATATAGAGATATATATATCAAAATCTCAACTTGATGTAAAGTAAATGAGCAGTTACCTGGCGGATTTTTTTTTTTTTTTCAAATAACTGTTTAATCCATAATTCCATAACAGACTTAGCTTCACCTCAATATTTTTGTCCATTCATCAGTGCTCCAACAAGAAAATGATAGGAAATAGCTGAAAATTACTAAAAGATTTTATTTTTTTTATTTATTAGAAAAATAAGTTCTTAGGGTCTTTGAATGCTGGATTTTTTTTGTCTTACCCATCCATGGCAGCTAAAAAAAAAAATCACTCAAAATATTCAGGTTTACATGTTAGCTCTCTCTCATAGGGAGTTGCCATACCTCACAGTTCAAAGTGTATTCTATAGATCAGTAACATTATACTGACATGTAATTGCAATTTACTATGCAGCAAAAATGATTCAAGAAGAAAAATAACCTACAGTGTCTATTTACCTTTGTATAGACAATTGCTTAAGTTACTCTGCTTTTAACATTTGTACTTGGATAAAATGCTTATTATGTATGTATAGGAATGTCACAGTGCAAGATGCTGCTAGCTCAGGCACAAAGTATTAAAATTATTTTGTGAAGATTGGTGGTTGTATTAAAACTGTTGTGCCATTATACCTCAAAAAAAGATTGAAAAGTTCATTTATATTGCTTATGCCATAACTGCTTTACTTAGATTGTTGTCTTCTAGATAAAAGTAACCCAGTTTTAATCCCGCACACAGATTAAATCTGAAGGACAAATGAACATTGGATACTGAGAAGCACTTAAGGGTATTTCCGAAAACATTGTGATTACACAAATAAAAATTATGGTCAGTACAGGGAAGTCCCAAGTTTAGGCTCAAGATATTTTTTAATGGATTATTTGAACAAGTTTGGAGTTGAAAGTGAGGGAAATTGTGTCTGAAGGAAGAGGTAAGGCCATTCATAGAACAGCTTCCAGGTCATTTTAAAAAATACTTCTTGCTTTTAGTTTTCTTCTTGTTAGCCTACCTACATAATATCCTTCATCAAATCTGAGATGTCATCAGCATCACTACAACATCTTTTTGATCCGACTAAAAGGCAAAAATATTGCTGAATAAATCATGACAAACCATTGATCATAAAATGCATCCAGATTTCCAAATGTTACATGTAAAAAAAGATGTGCATTTTAGTCAGTAAAATACAGATATATAAAACACATGGAGCAAAATAAAAATCACAACTGCCACTTCATTATACCTTTTCAAAAGTGAAGAGTACTCAAAAATATATTACTGAAATGTATCTATGCAGTTTTTTTCATACTCAAGTTTACACACAGGATGATGCCTTAATAAAATCAAGCTTCTCCGGTTAACTAAAGCTAAATGCAGATCATCAGTTTCCTCAGTGACACAATTTTTATGCGTTATACCTTACCTACAACTTTTGTTTCCTATGAGGGGGAATTTAAGATAAGACCGTAAGAACATTATTTAAAGGGATTTATTGAAATAGCCACCTTATAGTTTTATTTCACATTGTTTAGTGGTAAGAAATGTAATAAAACATGTAATTTTGCCTTTTATCAGGGTCCCACCCCACCAGCCACGCAGGGATCTTAGTTCCCCAACCAGGGATCAAACCCATGCCCCCTGTAGAGGAAGCAAGGAGCCTCAACCACTGGACCACCAGAGAAGTTTCTATGAGGTTTATTTTTTAACATGGGTTTTTAATTACCAGGATATACCTAATAAAGCTACTGTTACCAAGGTTATAGGACTCCTTTTTCTTAAAAAGCAAAATTTAGTTTTGTTGCTTTCACTAGGGACACACTAATTCATCTGCCTAGGTCACCAGCAGGTAAGTAGCACACCGTCTACTGGTAAAGAATTTCTATTATTTAGAAAGTTAACTAGCTTTACTGCATGGAGGGAAATCTGAAATCTAGTTGAAGCAGGTGTGGGTCAACAGGATGAGAAACAGGTGTTTTTACTTTCTATGCTCCTTTTTTTACAAAGAGTACACAAAATTAAAATTTTACTAACCCTGACTTGACCTAATAATTTCAATAGATAACTCAAGAAAAGCACAGAAAACATTAGGATTTTAACAAAATTATTCATATGAACAGGTTTAATGTAACATGGAATTCAGAAGATTAGAACCAATAGTGAAGTATCTAATTCTTATTTCAACTTAAAAAAAAAATTAAAATCAAAATAGGATAGTGACCACAATAATAGTACCATTACAGTCACATTAAATAGAAAAACTTCCATCAACATTTTAAGAATGTGATAAATGTAGTATGATACATTTTAAAATGTTCCACAACTTTGTAATCCCATTTTCATAAAAATGTTAGTAGGCTTTGGACACCCCTTGGAAAGATGAGAAATAAGGTTAGAAATATATAATACCAGCATTTATTTCCTAACTCACTGTTAAAAAGTACCTTATATTTCAGATATTTAAACAAATGAATAATTATTATATTTCACATATAAGACAGGTAGTACTTCAGCTATATTAGAATCATAACTTTTGGATGTATATTTAAATTGTCACATTTTATAAGTTAATCTTCATTTCTACTTCTTTTAAAGGCTCACCAGATTGTCTGCCAGTACAGTATTAGGATCGGCAAATGTTGGACTGTACTACATTTAGTTATATCTAACATCCAATTTCATGTAACATATGTGAAATGACACACCCTTAAGTGGTATTTAGATGTATTTCTTTGAAACAAAAATATTAACTTTATGAATGTGATAAGAAACAATCTTATTCACTGTATGCTTTTTTTCTTTTAATGAACAGTACAGATAGCAGACACATAACTCCTTACTACCTATACTCTGACCACTAAGAAATGAAGCCAAACTTTAGAAAAATACAATGCAAGAAAAGATTCAAGTTAAAAATATACTCCTTTGGTTAAAAATCATCCCCTTAATAATTTTATTTGTAATCTAAACTCAGCATGTCCCACCAGCCCAAAGTAATCTAAGTGTCATTATACTTGTATCACAATGTTTTTTCCAATCCAGTATTTATGGAGGTCACCTGGTTGCAGCAACAAAATATTTTAACTCAAGGAAGAGAGTATAGCCTTGCTGCATCAGCTCCTTTGATAGATGTCTTTCTTAAAAGATTTTACTTTAGAAACCTCCGACACATGTAGTTTTCTTCAGATACTGTATATCCAAACTTTTTATAGAAACCAACATTTTGTGGTAGACATTCCAGGGTAATCTTATAACAGTTCAGTTTCTTGCTTAGCAAAGTAAGAGTTGATAATAACCTGAAATTTTAAAAAGGGTTGGGGGGAGAGGCATAGAGCATTTGTTAATAAAAATGGATATTAGTAACAATGTGAGTGAATATGTTACAAAACTTTGTTTATATTACAAATAGGTTTATATCATGGCCTTTCCCACTATATTCATTTAAAATTCAAGTTACAAATATATAAAGCATTTAAATCACTGAAAGCATTTTACTTTGTTCCAAATATACTTTAGTCTATTAATAAACAGAAAGCTCACCCCAAACCCTTTTTACAAGTAGATTTTAAAATTAATGTTAACATGAAAGACTGGCAACCTTTTAAAAAATATGGCCAAAATTAGTCTTTGTATCTAAATTCTATTCAAACTATTTAGTCAGTGTTGAATAGTCAAAACCATTCAGTCAGCATTCCCACATAAAGTGGGTAAATAATTGCTTTGTTCTTTATCATTTTTAAAGCTACCTAAATATCTGTGAAGGAATGTATCAGGTTACCTACGGATTTAGTCTAATTAATATGAATTGGAAACAAAAACATATCTTTATAAATCCTTAAAAAATCCAAACCAAGTATAAAAATGTGATTCTAACTGCCTTAAGGAGAGAAAACTAGGAATTTTCTCATGTTGCCCGGATAGAAAAAAACCTCATCATTCTGAAGACAGAACTTCTTGCTTGAAGTTACACAATTATAAAAGGTATGGCTAAGTGAACGTGCACTAGAAATACTAGAAATTGGTCTGTTTTGTTCACTGATATGTATCAAATACTTTGAATAGTATCTAGCACATATGCTTAATATTTACTGAGTGAATTCCTTAAAACTCAGAAAATATTAAAAAGCAAATTCTAACCTATGAAACTTTTAAGAGACTTTGATAAATGTATAGAGGATTATACAGTGAAGGCCGGTTCAGTATATGGTTCTAAAAGTCATATGACTGAGAACATGTCCTTTGTTTTGAAATGTGATAGACCAATAACTTGACTCACCAAAAGTTTCTTCTTCCTAGTAATATGAAAAAGTATTACTACTAAAAGTTAATAACTTTAAGGTGTTCACTGCTTTAACAGTACAGTTCCAATTTCCAAACTTTATGGTAAAAATTATATAAACACTTTTCCTTAAATTCAGTCTAAGCTATAGAGTGAGAATGGGTTCATAATTAATGACACTTACAAAACTTCAAACAGGAAAGCATTTTTAACAAGTATCTTGGCAAGCAAATGTAAACTGCAACACAGTAGCTACTTTTTCCAGGGTTACCTTGTTTCTGCCTACTTACAGTTTGCCAAGCTGTTTTCCTCTGCATTCATCACTAACAACAACATCTTCTACTCGTCCTCTCTGAAAATATTTACAATGTTTAAAAGACTAAGCATGTAGGTTTTGTTTTTAGTTAAATCAGCAAATGATGGTAAGAACTCATTGATAAATGTTTTATAAACCTTAATTTCAAAAACTGCAAATTTTTTTAACCTCTTATAGAGGAAATAATACAGTGAATCAATTTGTGGCCTATATCCTGGTCTATATATATATATATATATATATATATATATATGTGGTCTATATCCTGAACCATCCCATCCTATTATTTTAAAACAAATCTCAGAATCCACATCACCAAAATGTAATCTTGTTATTAAGGTACATCCATTATCCTATTCCTGCTTAAAAGCAATTTATTTCAGACATACAAATACAGTATACTAATTTCTAGTACAGAAATCACACCAAAACTCATACCTCACAGAATACATTCCAAGTGTTTGTATCCTATTCTCACAGGATTATCTAGATCTTGTTTACTATTTCATGTGAATCATGAGGAGTGAAGGGACTCTACAGGCACTAGAAGGGTCATGATTAGAACATATTATTCTGAACCCTTTACCACTGGGAAACTGATGGGAATTTGTGTTAATGTAGTACAATCCAAGTATCATTTTTGAAAAAAATTAGCATTAGTGATTCCAAACATTACTGCCAAATTCCACAATGTTGACGTGATTTCTCTACATCTATACCAATTCTAACACCTTGCAGAACAATTTTTAGCAAACAGCTCATGTTAATAACATTTTCTGTCTCACAACTCTTAAGAGAATGGGAAAATGACTAAGTGATTTCTAGAAAGCAAAACTATTCCAGGCAATATTTTGCTCTCTCATTTTGGAGTAAAAAGCAGTGGGAAAACAGACTTGTCTGATGGAAACTAGAAGTTGATATCCATTTTACTCATAAGCATTAAGGTGAACACATACCTTAGCACAGGAATGGATAAATTTATGTTCTATTATCAGGGTTGCTGTAGCAACTATCTGGCCTAAAGTTACATCTTCCACAACTGTAACATAGTAATCCCCAGATTTCTTCATGTGCTCAAAAGATTCTGTGGAAGTTGGAAAAGAGTGTTATATAGACATTAAACTTTTATTAGGTGCTCCCCCCCAAAAAAATACGAGAATTAGCCAAAATAATTTAATGAATATTTAAAGCTATTTTACCACAGTAATTTACAACTTTGTGTCTAGAGAAAATGTCACTTATTAAGCATGACCATGTATTTGAAACATCAGCAGTCAGTACTGACTAGAGCATAGTTCATACATTTAAAAGATCTGCTAGCAGAAAAAAGGAAGACTAATATAGCTATTTTATAATCTGACAAAATAGTTTTCAATTTTCCTCTTGTGATCTCAAGTGTTTCCTGATTACATGACCTGTTTTAAAAATAAAAAAATCATTTTTGTTTGCTTTGAAAGCATCCTGTGAAAGATAAAAAATAAGTCTCCATTTTCCAGTAATTTTCCCAAAGCCACATAGCAAATAGGAGCAAAAGTGGAATAAATGCCTTCCCCTCAAACTGACTTATACTGATGAAATAACATGATTTCTCATGTAATATTCCCGCAAAGAAGAATTTAGGAATAAAAACTGAGCCCAAGAGTATTAACATACTGTTTATTTCCACAGTTGTATTCTAGTAATGGGTCTGAAATGGGAAGAAATAGATTCAAAGAAGGAAGACAGAATCAGAAAATAATGACCTTCATTTCAAGAGGGTCATATAGAGTACAAAATAAAATTACCTATTGAAGAAAATGAAGAAGATAGGAAGACAGTGTTAAGAGCACTGGATGGAGTCAGGAAGGTTGTAGTTTTTTCCTTAGCAACAACAACCTGTGATTTTGGGTAAGTCAATTGACCCCTCTGAGTTTCTATCCTTACATATTTTTATTACATTTTTTGACGAAATTTCTGTGAAATAACCTAACCATGTGAAAGGAAAATACTATAATAAAAATCTCTAAAACTGCCACCCAGGTTCTATGCTATAGTAATTATCTAAAAATAGCCAGGTATTTTGTAAAAAACATAGTAATAGTTACTTTTGGATTCTAGAATAGATTGGCCACATTTAACAATTAATAGCTAGTTTGTTATTTGAATATTTTCCAGCTATTTGAACAAAAATATAAACACTGAACAGAGCTTGAAACAAAAATAAAATCTTGTTTCCGTTTATTTCTTTTTCTTCAGGAAAAAGAGGACTTACTCATAAATTGTTCTGGGTTGACAGCTCCAGTCTCTGTCAGCTGACCTAGTACCTTAAAAAAACCTAGTTTTGAAAAACAGATTTCAAGTCATGAGAAGAGCAAATACATATTAAAAGAAGCAATGTGTCAAGCTGGTGGGCATTATTTTTTCAAAACTTTCTATAATGAACCATTCTTAAATTATTTTAAAAGATTAAACAAACCCATTCTTTCTATATAATCAATATGGAAAACAATAATAGATTTTACCAGTGTTTTGGCCTGCATAAGATTTTTGGAATAGTGCTGACCTTAAGACTCAGTATTTATAGAACCAGTATATACAGTTTTAAATGTAATTTGCAGTAGATTCAATGCAAGGAATGTCAAATTTTCTCAAATATGTGCTTTCATTTTAATTAAAAATGCAAGATTCTCATGACCAAATATTATTTGTAAAATATAACATTGTTGAGATAACCGTGTTTTTTTTAAAGATTCCTGATTAATGTAATGTTAATATGAACAGCATAGAACTTTGGGAATCTTAACTTTTACATACCAAAGAACTGATTTGACCAAAATAATTTAAGATTTCCTGCCAAAAAATGAAACTGTAAAAAGTTGATTTTTGATTACTGAAATTTAAGGATATTATTTTGGAAAATTTAGAAATTAAAAAAAGGAATACATGTAGATAAAACCTTTTGCAACTATCTGAGGCAAATTATCTTCATTCTCGTTCTCCATGCAGCTTCTTAGAGAAGATTCTTACTTTTGTGTCATTATACAAGATAATTGCCCCCTTTTGGCTGCTTAATTAGGAAGGAGCACTGTTGTATGTAAGTCATTTGAAATAGTGTAATACAGTACTGTATAGTACAGTAATATCTGGCCTATACACATTGTAATTAAGTTCTCAGTCACTTTAAAATTTAAGTGCAAAAAAGTAACAGGAAAGTCAAATATTTTTAAAAATTATCAGCATCATCATATGTGGAAAAAACAATGCTAACTATAAGTCTAACTAGCATTTGTAAACTGAGCCCATACCTCTATTTAAATCAGCAGTACAAAGAGGCCTCAAAACCAAACCTTCTCCAGGATGTGTTGGGGAAATGGCTGGAGAAAATGTAGCTGTATTCTGACTCCAGTCCACTTCTTTGAGTAGACTTGGGTCAAACATAGGAGTTTCATCAGGTTTCATCTTTGCAGTAAGATCTAAAACAAAATTTTAAATGTTAAGGCATTTTATTTAATAGACAATTTTTGATTGGTAAGATTGTCAATTTCTTAATAAAAGTAAACAGCACTTAGAAAAATCTTTAACAGGTATGCAAGATACTTATTTTAGTCTATCCTAAATGTAACATCAAATGCCACAGCTAGAGCTATGTAGAAAACTCAGAAATTCTATCATATAGTAAATGACTAAATTTAGAAGTTGTTACACTTTTAAACTTCTTTTTTCTAACAGGACTTTTAAAACATTTTTTCGTATGGGCCAGTGCTACTAGCATGCATTTTGAGTAGCTGACTTTTAAATGACTTTTTTTTTTTTAAACATTATTGGATTAAGGAATAATTTGTTGGTTTTACCTGCCCAGGAAGACTACTGGGCATGTAACTTAAAAAAAAAATATGAACCATGAACAGAAGATTCTGCATTCACTGGAATATTTGGTCTCAGCTACGATAAATTCACACTAAGTATCTATTGGATTTTGTTTTCATGGCAGGTTTTCTAAAAATCTAGAAGTTGCTCAGCTGCATCTAAGCAACTTTTTAAGAATAGCCTGTGTTTTTCATGCTATTGAAAAATGATCAATTATGGTATTTTTATCTTTTTTGAACATTCAGAAATAGGTTCTTATTAGGTGTAGTCTTAATAAAACTGAAACTAAATGAAAGCTATAATGCTAGAATGAAAAACATGAAGCACAGAAATGGCTGCGGGGGGCACACCTCTGTAGAAGAGAGTTGCTGGAGGAAACAGTCTTCCAAACTATTACTTGGAGACTCTGGTAACACTAAACTTTCATTTCTAACACCACACCCAGTTAAAGAAACCAGAGTTGCTCCTTGAACAGCATGGGTTTAGGGTGCCAATCCTCCATGCTGTCAAAAATGCACAGTAGAAAATTCGCATATAACTTGTACTCCGCCCGCCATATCTCTGGTTCTGTAATGGGAGATTCAACTTACTTTGAAATATGTAGTACTGTAATACTACTGAAAAAAATCTGTGGGTAAGTAGATCCTTGAAGTTCAAACCCATCTTATTAAGGGTCAACTGTATTCTATTTGATACCTGCCTCTAGTTTTTTGAAACAAAGAATTTAAAGACAAATCTATCTATGTATATGCATAATATACTACCATAAAACAAGAAAGCAATACAGGAAAAAATTAAAGTCCACTTAATAACAGAATAACTTCCCCCAATAACCCAACTCCCAGATGTTCTCTATTTCACAAATCACAGTATGTCTAAGGGCAACTATTTTTAACTTTTCCATAAAGGTAGATTACATTGCATAACCCAATGTAACTATATAGGGAATGCTGCAGTCTAGCAGAGGCTTTGGGTCCTAGAGTACCAATGATGATTATCTCCATGTTAATAGATGAGGAAATGCAGGTGTAGACAAGTAACTTGCCCAAGGTCACAAAATCATAATAGCAAACCCGAGATTGAAACCTAGACAAGAAAAGACCATGAGCTCTAGAGTCAGACCTGATATTCAGATGTCAACTGTCTGATCATGGCTATGTAAATTAAACAATCTGTTTCCTCATTTGTAAAATGGAGATGAAACTGTTGAAGAAATGGCTTAGTGTATACAAACACCTAACAGTGCCTCGCACACTGTACATGCTCAACATGACACAATTTAGTTAGCTACTGATTTAAAATTTATTTTTTATATGTTCATGTTAACTTTTCTAACTTTTTATACAAGTTTTTTCACTTTTAATTCATGAGTCACACTGCTGGGTACAGCAGCTACAAAAAGGTTATGCTTATGTTAAACTGAAAACATTCTTGGAAAGGAAGAAAAAACTTGCTCTAAACACTATGCTTGGATCTAAGAACAGTAAGGAAAGGAAATTGTGATGATTAAAACAATCCTTCATAAAATTTAACCAGCTTATGGCCTATTTGGGGACTCCTCGGTGGCTCAGCAGTAAAGAATTCATGTGCAAAGCAGGAGATGGAGAAGACTTGGGTTTGATCCCTGGATCAGAAAGATACTCTGGAGGGGGCATAGCAACCCACTCCAATATTCTTGCCAGGAAAATCCCATGGACAGTATTGGACATGACTGAAGCGACTGAGCACACACCCATGGTTCATTTGAAACAGGTTTTTTTAATAAGTAATTTTAGTGCATGCACTTTAGTATTTGTCCCAGATAATTGGGTCCCTGAAGCCTTTGAGTACTCTAATCTGAAAGAAGGGGCTTCCCTGATAGCTCAGTTGGTAAAGAAGCCACCTGCAGTGTAGGAGATCCGGTTCCATTCCTGGGTTGGGAAGATCCTCTGGAGAAGGGATAGGCTACCCACTACAGTATTCTTGGACTTCCTTTGTGGCTCAGCTGGTAAAGAATCTGCTTGCAACGTGGGAGACCTGGGGTCGATCCCTGGGTTGGGAATACCCCCTGGAGAAGGGAGCAGCTACCCACCCAATATTCTGGCCTGGAGAATTCCATGGACTGTTTAGTCCATGGGGTACCAAAGAGTTGGACACGACTGAGCCATTTGCACTTTCATTTGGTCTTCCCTTGTGGCTCAGTTGGTAAAGAATCAGCCTCCAATGCGGAAGACCAGGGTTCTATCCCTGGGTCAGGAAGATCCTCTGGAGAAGGGAATGGCAATCCACTCCAGTATTCTTGCCTGGAGAATCCCATGGACAGAGGAGCCTGGAGGGCTACAGTCCATGGGTTGCAGGGTCGTACATGACAGAGCGACTGACATACACACACAAAACTTAGTCAAAGCAGCACTCATAACCTGTATTTGGAAAATAAGAATTTCAGGCTAGTTAAAAGAGCATTTTGGATAGAAATAAGAATCCATATTCTTATCCCAATCAAAAATCAATATAAAAATGTTTATATGAGCTATTTTACAAAACAGAGCCACACTTAAGGTTACCTTCTTTTATTTTGCTATGTCCCCATGTAGTAAAATTCTGTTGGTGTCCAATTAATATACTGAGCAAGTTAAAGTAAGATGTGATTTGATACTAAATTTCAAAAGATTAGAAAACAGCAAAATTGTTAAGTTTATTTGGTTTGCAAAAGATAATATTCAGCATCTTAAAGCACACCCAGGTACCACATTAGGAATTTGAAGCCGAATTCCATCATTATCACTGGAGTCTAATTTGGGGTTTTGGGTTTTTTTTGGCCAGGGGTGGGGGTGAGGGGTCTGCTGCTTGTGGGACCTTAGCTCTCCAACCAGGGATCGAACCCAGGTCTACGTCAATGAAAGCACCAAGTTTTAACTGCTGGACTGCCAGGGAATTCCCTCGTTTGGGTCTTACTCTGAAGATTTTAGATTAATTTTAACCGTTATGTATTTCTCAAGAAACTTTTCTGTTTAACTACTAAGTTAGCATGCATTTAAAGGCCCATAATGCCTAAGCTTAGCACAATAAATGCCTAGTGAATGAATAACGAAGGGTATAAGACTTATCTGGAGGTCATTCAGAAAATCCAGAAGAAAAAAAGATTTCCAAACTGCCCACAAGTGATATCACAAAAACCATACAGCAAATTCATTTTTACTAAGATCACATCAGTTGGTTGACCGTTCTTTGGACACAATTTCAACAGGTTTCTCACTGTCTTTACTGAGCTATACACAAGGGGATGAGCTGCTGCTAGGAACGAACAACTGAGAGCAACAAGTAATAGATACTGGGAATGAAGTTTCAGAAGTTGATATAAAATTTTGAAAAAACAATCTAAGGTCAAATCTAAACTTGTCTTTATATCTCATGAACTCTTGGAGCATTACTGTATTACTTTAGTACACGGTTAAAGCAGGAAGGGGGACCTTGTGCTGTTTGAGACTTTGGGGTTAGTCTACATACATTTCATAACAGTTTCAATAATTTGAATTTTGTTTGAACCTAAGAAAACTTCATTCACTGATGATTTTAATAGGCTTGGCTATATTAAATTATGCAATTACATTTCAGTTGTGAATTTTAAAACTTCTTGATAGTTTGATCCCTGTAATTTAGGCATTATTCCCAGTCTATCCATGAGCATACTAGAGCACGTGGAGCTTTTGGGACTTGACCTCAGGGTAATAACCAATGAGTGGATCTTAAATCCTCCGATGTCGTTCTTGCCCTACAGTACCATACTTAGTAGAGGCCAATCTTTACATCATCATGCCAGACTGGGAGCTATCTCCCCTATTTTTTTTTTTTTCCCTCCCCTATTCTAAAACATGTCAGTGAATCCCGCCTAATGAAACTGACCTAAATGATTTCCTGAGATCCATTCTAGAATTCATTCTCGAGTGTATAGCCTAACAAAACTAGTCGCCCTTCAATTTTGTATGGCATTTTAAGAGTTGATTTGCATAAATGTTAGCTCCTGTAAGAGAAGTCACAATACCTAGTGTCTCTAGGGGGTGGAAGCCCCCGGAAAAGACAAAGGATGTCCGTCTTTCCTACAGTGAAACACCGATTTAATCAGTGCAGGAGGTGATCTTCGGAGCAGAATCAGGTCCTCAAGTGGCTCCTGACCGCCGTGTGGTGCTCCTCCGAAGGGAACAGGGGAACAGGGCGGCCAACGGCGTTCGTGCCCATTTCAAAAAGCCGAAGGCGGCAGAGACTGAACAGCTGTCTCAATGCCCCACGTTAAAGCTGCCTAAAGAAGTCAATTTCACCCTAGTCTCTGCTCCTGCCTTGCTAAGGCCACCTCCTGCATGGCTGGACCACTGGCCACCATCCCTAACCTCTGCTCCAGGCGTGCGTTCGCTCAACTTGCTCCAAACTGCCCTCTACGCCCCCATGTGCACCCAGCTGGCGAAGATGAAATGCCTGGATCCCCGCACGGAATCTGCCCCCGCCCCTCGTCGGGCCTAGCTCTCCTCGCCCCAGGGTAGCAGTCACACCTGTTTGATAAACCTGAAGGCAGGCCCAGCCCGGCACTCAGGGCATCCGCTCCGGACCCGCTCTCTCTCCCCGACCCCCAGACCCTCTCACCCGTAGAGGTACGCAGTCTGCGCTCCTCTCCAGGCTCGACGGATTCTCACTCACCCGGGTACACTGCACTGGATCCGGATCCGGCTTCAGAGCCAGCCCCACCTCTTCCCGCCTCCCGCGCTACAGCCCGCCGCACCGCGGCCGCTGCGCTCGCAGCAGCCAAGACGTGGCAGCACCAACGCCTCCAGCCCGCCCCTACCCGCTTACGCAGGGCCGCGAGCAGGGCAGGGGGAGGTGGCTGCGGAGGGGGCGGGGGCGAGACCCGGAGGGCGGGGCGGAGTGGAGGCGGGACCTGCGACTGACGTCAGCACGTGGGGCGGGGGCCGGGGGGCGGTAGCGATTTCTCAGGGACTCCACCCGGCCAGCGCGCCGGGAGGAATCCTCATCTCGGTCCGCACCTCCTCGCTTGTCAGGCTCCCACGACGGCCTCGGTGTCTCGGTTTAACTGGAAAATGATTTTGCCTCGGAATCAGCTAAGCACTGTAAGTGGTGACTAGGGTGTGTATCTTTGATTCGGATACCACAGTCTCAGCGCCTTGCCCTCTCGTTTGCCCCTTGTTGCACTTTCCCTTCACAGTCAATTCATTCACTGATTAGGACTTCGCTGGAGGCTCGAAGCTCCTCATCCCCAGTTTTCTGAGTCACAGATCCTGCCTCTGTGAGGTGGGGCCCCTGCATTCTACTCTAAGACTACGTTTTATTTCTCGCTCAAACCGTTTTTGGATGAACACGGTGGTTAGGACAGTGACTCTCAGCTGCAGCGACCTTGCCTCCCAGAAGGCAGTTGACAATGGGTGGTCATTTTCAACCTTGAGTCTGGGAGAGAACTGTTACTGGCGTCTCACATGATGATAGAGAGTGATGCGGGTAGAAGTCAGGGACGCTGCTAAATGTTTAACGGTGTACAGAACAGCTCCCCACAACAAACAATGATCTGGGCTGAATGTCAGTATTGCTAAAAGTTAAGAAACCCTGGATTAGGATAAGAAAACTGACTTCTCTGAGCACCCACCTACCAAGCGTCTTACCTAACTAGCAGGTGTCCTCATTTCACAGACTGGGAAACAAACTCAGAGATGTTAACTACTTTACAAAACCAAAGTTATATAGCCAGGAGCTCTTCCTTGACTTGTACCATAAATTTCAATTTATTGACTTTGTTCTTATTACTGTTCAAAGGATTAACATTTTCTGCTTATTTGTGAGACTTAAATTTCAGATAACTTTCTGATTGATGTATTCTCAAACTTTCAAATATCTCTATCCATCCTTGTTTTTACCTTCATATATACAAAGCAATTAAGATATAAACAAAATCTTAAGAAGGGGGCTTCCTAGGTGGCACTTGTTGGATCATTCAGACGTGTCCGACCCCTTGAGACCCCGTGCAGCACGCCAGGATTCCCTGTCCTTCATCATCTCCCAGAGCTTGCTCAAACTCATGTCCATTGAGTTGCTGATGCCACACAACCATCTCGTCCTCGGTCATCCCCATCTCCCCCTGCCTTCAATCTTTCCCAGTAATCAGGGTCTTTTCCAATGAATCGGCTCTTCCCATCAGGTGGCCAAAGTGTTGGAGCTTCAGCTTCAGCATCAGTCCTTCCGATGAGTATTTATTGTTTATTTCCTTTAGGATTGACTGGTTTGATCTCCTTGGAGTCCAAGGGACTCTCAAGAGTCTTCTCCAGCACCACAGTTCAGAAGCATCAAATCTTCAACGCTCAGCCTTCTTAATGGTCCAACTCTTACATCCATACATGACTACTGGAAAAACCATAGTTTTGAATATACGGACCTTTATCGGCACAATAATGTCTTTGCTTTTTAATACACTAAGTTTGTCATAGCTTTTCTTCCAAGGAGCAAGCATCTTTTAATTTCATGGCTGCAGTTACCATCTGCAGTGATTTTGGAGCCCAAAAAAATAGTCTGTCACTATTTCCATTGTTTCTCCATCTATTTGCCACGAAGTGATGAGACTGGATACCATGATCTTTGTTTTTTGAATGTTGAGTTTTAAACCATCTTTTTCTCTCTCCTCTTTCACTTTCATCAAGAGGTTCTTCAGTTCCTCTTTGCTTTTTGCCATAAGGGTGGTGTCATCTGCATATCTGAGGTTATTGATATTTCTCCTGGCAATCTTGATTCCAGCTTGTGCTTCCTCCAGCCCAGCGTTTCTCATGATGTACTCTGCATATAAGTTAAATAAGCAGGGTGACAATAAACAGCCTTGATGTATTCCTTTCTCAATTTTGAACCAGTCCATTGTTCCACGTCCGGTTCTAACTGTTGCTTCTTGCCCTGCATACAGGTTGCTCAGGAGGCAGGTAAGGTGGTCTGGTATTCCCATCTCTTTCAGAATTTTCCACAGTTCCTATGTTGTGTGTGTATGCTAAGTTGCTTCAGTTGTGTCCGACTCTTGCGACCCTATGGACTATAGGCCACTAGTCTTCTCTGCTCCTAAATTAGATACATGCAAATCTATAAATGCTCTATCTTCTTATTGGATTGACTCCTTTATCATTCTTCTTCATCTCCTATTGTAGGTTTGTCTTTAAGTCTTTTGTCTGATGTAGATATAGCTACCACAGTTTTCTTTGGTTTTTGTCTGCATAGACTGTTTTCTTCACTTTTTGTCTCTGTGTGTTCTTCAAGCTGATGTAAGTCTCTGGTAGACAGCATATATTTCAGTCTTGTTTTTGTTTTGTTTTTTATCCATCAGCCATTCTATATCTTTCAATTGGAGAATTTATTCCATTTACATATAAAGTATTAATAAGTATGAACTTATTGCCATTTTGTTGATTGGTTTCTGGATGTTTTGTAATTCATTTGTTCGCTTCTTCTCTTGCTCTCTTCTGTTGTGATGGATGATTTTCTGTAGTGGTAACCTTAAATTTCTTTATCTTTTGTACACCTACTATAGTTTTTTGCTTTGTGGTTATCCTGAGGCTCACATGAAATATGCTATATTTGGTAACAGTCTATTTTAAGTTGATAATAAGTTAAGTTTGCACACATTCTGAAGCTCTACATTTTTACCCCCTTCACATTTTATATTTTTGATTTCACAATTTGCATCTTTTTATCTTATGTATGCATTAACAAGTTATAATAGTTGTAGTTATTTTCCAGGTTTATAACTGACTAACCCACCACCCTTACAACATAAGATTATTCTGAATTTAACTCCATGTCATTAAAGTCTTTTTCTGGGATTTTATCTTGTTCTTTTCTTTGGAACTTATTCCTCTGTGTTTTCCATTTTCCTTGATTGTCTGTATTGGCTTAATGCCACGTCTCAGTCTTGAAGGAGTGGTCTGATTTAGAAGATGGAACTTCTTCAACCCTGTTGTAGCTCATGCCTCTCACTTAAGCCTTTGTGGTTATCCAGGCAGCCTTCTGTGTTCTTACAGGCTCCCAGTAGTTGAGGATCTGCTAAGATTTGTCTGCATCCCAAAGGGGAGGATCTCAGTCAGCACCTAGAGGCAGACTAAATGGAAGCCAGACCCTCAGGCAGCATCTTTTAAAGTATGTGAATATTCTTCCTTCAGGGGAGGACTTGTAAATGAATCTGTCTGCTCCCTCTGCTGAGCCCTGAAGGGATAGCCACTTTAAAGCTCTTGTTCTTTTTTGCTATCATCCCATTGAACCCGTGAACACAAGGCCCCTGGTCACTGGTGCCAGACCTCTTAGTGGCAATCACAAACCCCCAGGTGGCAGATGTGTGCATAAGCGCCTTTCTCAGAGACACCAGCAGCATAGAGCCCGGCACAGAGAGAGCATTAAGGTGGCGCCCACTGGCCTCCCTGGTCTGTGGAGAGGAGGGCAGTTAGCCCCTCAGGCCACAACTGTTAACAGAAGCTAATAGACTTGTCTCATAGAAAGACTGGTCAGTTCAGTCTGCTCCCTCCACCCTGGGCCTGGGAGGGATAACTGGTGAAAAAGTGTTTCTCTGTTTGTTACAGTCCTGTGGTGCCCTTGAACAGAAGCCACTGGCCACCGAAGCCAGGAGAGGAAGTGACATCCTCTGGGCAGCAGCCACAGAACCTGGGGCATCAGACATGCACACGAGCTGCTTTTTGGGAGATCCCGGCAACCTGGACGAGGCAGGGGGAGAGCGGGAAGATGAACCCACCAGCCTCCGTGGTTTCTGGAGAGCAATACAGTTGGCCCTTGGAAGGCTTTTAAGTTAGAAGCCTGTCCCTCGGGCTTTTAAGCTTAGTGACTAGCCTCTTTCATGGAAAGACTGGGTGCATTTCAGTCTGCTGCCCCTGCGCTGGGCCCTGGGGTTTAACCACAGGGAATCCACACAATCTAAGAACTGTCTATTGGATTAGTTTGCTATAGCCTTGTGGGTCTCATGCATGCAATTCCTGTTGGCTTTCAGAGCCGATGTTCTGGGGTCCATTTCTCAGGTGGAAGTCTTAAGAGTTGTGATACGAGCAGTGGGGTCCAAACCCTTCAGTCCTCTGGAAGAAGCTGAGTTGTGAGTTCTCTGCTGGTTTTATGTCACTGCATGGGGTGAGGTTAGTGGTGAGATTGTGTCCCACCTACCCATTCTGATGTTGGGGGGTTTGGTTCATCTGATGTGTATGAGTTGCTCAGTTAGTTTCCAGATATCTTTAGAAGGAAATTGGTCTGTGTGTAGCTATAGATTCAGCATGCCTGTGAGAGGTGGTTTCAGGATTCTCCTGTGTTGCCATTTTGAAGCAGAGAAACATTTTTCAGTTTCTTATAAGAAATGCTGTATCACCAACATTCTTGTTGGGATAGGTAATGATATTATGTGGGAAAAAAGGAATATCAGTGATTGAATTGAAAAGTGATTCAGGATGTTGGATTCAATGAGAAGTTTTAAGAATACCTTAACGGATTTATTTTCTTCATATTTTTCTCTGAATGTATGCACAAGAACTAGATAGAACGATCCATGTTTAGTTAAATATAAAGGACTCTTTTACTAAGTGTTAACATTCCAAGTAAGAAGAAAGTATGTGTTATAGTTTTCAATTGGTCATATTTTTCTTTCTTAGTGGTTTATAATAAACTAATTTTTTATTATATACCACTAAGAAAAACTAATAGTGCATCTTACAGTAGGTATATCTTAAATAAATTGCTTTATTTGGTTCT